GCTTTCAGCTGAAACGACTGGTTTGTGGTGGTTGTTGCTGTTTATTTCTGAGGTTTTGGTCCATATGTGTCAGTTTGTTTGGAATCATAGTGCAATAAGAGAATGTGAGTCAAGCAGATGAGGAAAATGGTAATATGAGGGGATATTAATACACACAGAAAATCCATATGGCAAAAAAAAAGAAAAAGAAATATGGTTCTTTCTGCTTAACCCTTAGGATATTGATGGAAAGGAGGAAAATTGATCTCCCAATATGTTTCTAGTTGTTCACAGTATTCTTCAGGGTTTATCACAGCGATCTGGTTTGTACAAAATATCAACCCATCATGGTTACTTGTATCAACTGAACCCAGCCTGGTTTACCCATGGTGTTGTCTAAACCTAACCCATTTGTTGTTTAAACTCAAGCCGCCCTGAGTACCCATGGGCCACTCTAGGGGTTCTTTCACCCATCCTGGTTTGTTGTATTGTCCAAACCCAGGCATTCAGTTCTACCATAGGTTAAAGCCCAGCAGCTAGCAACTTGCTTGCCAAGAGCAACGTAACCCACTTGCCAGTCTTTCAAAGCTTGTCCTGGCCATTGCTAATCTGGCCACCTGACAAGTAGCTAAGCAATAGGTGGGGGTGGTGTGCGCTGGCACATTGCTCTCCCTGCAGTGATAAAGAGTCTTTTTGTTTGCACTTCAAACTTTAAATATGTCAGTGGCTGCTAGAACCTTTTTACAAATTATTTTTCCACACAAAATTTGCACAGATATGATTGTATTAAAAAAAAAAAAAAAAGAGCCGTGCTTGTACAAGGATGGACATGAGCAGTTTCACAAGTTCTCCAATTTGAAACTTTGGCTGGGACAGTGTCTGGGGCAGGTGGGGCAGATACTGCACATGCCAATCCAAGACGTTGCTCCAGAAAAGCTCCGACTGAGTTTTCCCCTCTCGGTTTGACTGGGCAGCTGCCAAAGTGATTTGGCCACTCAAGTGATCTTGCTTGCAAAAGGTGGTGATGGGATTTATACTCCCTTTGGGGCAAGATCCTCATCCTTTTCTCCACTGTGAAGCCCTCAGTGTGGTGCATATTTTGCACTGTTCTCCAAGATTTCAGGTGCTTGGGAAAGTACAAAAATGTTCCTCTCACTTTTTCTCAGGAAAAAGAGTTTTGACCACTAGCTTTCAAAGGCAGTGTTGCCTGGGCAGTGGGTAGTGTTGCATGGGAACATATCATTTCCCCCACCCAGAAATAAGGGTTTAAAGTGTAAAAATGTTACAGGAATGGCGAATGACATCATGACAAAGAGAGACAACTGAGTTCTGCCACATGTTCCCTGGATAGCACTTGGTGGTCCAAGGGGAAAGGAGGGAGGGACCAGTACACGGTGAGCTCCGTCTTTGTTGTTCTCAGAGCAACCAATCCACTAGGGTAGGTTGTCGAGATGTGTGAACTGCCCGACCTGAAATGGGACCTTCCACAAAGTATATATGTTGCAACCAAGGGGGATTTAGTAGTGGTTCACATGAGTCCAGAAAGGAAACATTTTAAAGGGATGATGTGGACAATCTCACCATCGTCTGTCAGCATCCTTTCCCATCACTCTCTGTACAACAATCGGATGTAGACAATCTGGCATTTGGAGTTCATTTCATTTTAATCTAGGCAACCTGTTCAGAAATTGGAAAAACATATTAAAACATTCAGCTAATTAGTTCCATAGTGGAAAAGGGAGGACAGCAGTCTTGAAACCAAATGAGGTTCTAAACTTATTATGCTAATATCCATTGTGTGATTGACCTCTACCTCAAAGATAACCCTGTTTTGGTAGAAATGCCCCACGTAACATCTAGTTATTAGCGCAAGTAGCCCTAATGACAGCCTAACTAGACAGGTGCTTCCAGTTCCGAGCATATATACAGTATTTGTGCTGTTATTAGGTCAGATCCTCTTTCTTCTGCTTGATTTGCTGAGCTAACATCTTGACTCGTGTCTAGACAGATGGTGAGTGGAAGAAGGGCTGAGTTACGCCTCAGATGAAAGGCGCAGACCCTTCACCTGCTCTTTGAGCTTATTGGCCCATTTGTCCTCAGCAAAGACTCCATCAGCTGCATGGAGCCAAATTTCTTAAGACTGTATCCACACTCAGTTTCTATGGCAACTGTATCTCAGAGTGCATGCACAAACAGAACAGGCAGGGGGTGTTTTCTTCTTTTCTTCTTCCTCCTCAGAAAGAAATAATCAGAAATTGGGTGGTGCAGGCATATTGCAACAAGGCACATGTGTAAAGCTAGCACTTTTTCGATGCAGCGTAGCTGTGTTGCCTTATCTTGGTAAACAACAATACAATTCTTTCTTAGTGTCTTTCTACTCTAATGGACTGATTTTTCTCCGTATATTTGAGAAATTATCATCATCACACTGCTGCTACGTTTTATCACAGCCAATTAGTTACCAGTGAGGCAGGTGACTGGGGCTCCTTATCCATTACAGCTTTTATTTTGCGCTTTATAGGAGTGATCTGCAAGGGTGAACTTATTTGGGGGGGGGGGAGTACAGTACATGGATAAATCCTAGAAAACTCAAAACAAAAGGCAGTCTTCCATGTGCTCTTGACCCCAAAGTATGCAGTTATTTTCTTTTCCAAAAGGCAAACCCACATGCAGCAAAATAGAGTGTTCCAGGTATGCCCATAAGACAGTCTAACTCAACCCGGTGTTCTCCAGATGTGTTGGACTACAACTCCCACAAATACTGTGCTTGATCAGGGTGCTGGGATTTGTAGTCTGGCACATCTGGAAGGCAGCCCATTGGAAATTTCTGACTATTTAAAGTATCATAGCAGTGCAAAGTAGTTTATGCTCCCTTTGTTTTCCAGGAAGACTTGTTGCATCTCTGGGTGAAAAACTGGAGAAAATTTGGGTGGGGGGGAGCTTGTTGATTCTTTTATAACCAGATGCAGGATAATTATTTCTTTCTAAACTCTGTGAAGCTTCCGCTAAGATGGGAGCCCGATCTACATGTTCTCCTTTGCGTGATTTCATTTGTGCAGGGTTAAAAGCCTCCATCCTGGAGGAATGTTATCCATGGGGCCGCGATGGGTCGGACGCGACTGCGCAACTAACAACAAAAAGCCTACATTAGTTTAGCAGGCATTCAGCCCTCCAACACATGGAGGGTGACAGAGACATGGCAGTGGGGTGGGCGTAATGCACACATTCCCATTCTCACACAGTCGTGAATCATGAAAATAGATTTGTGAGCCACTGAGCTGTGATGCACAAGACTGCAGTTAGTTAGGCCACACCAGGTACATAACCACCATTCCCTTGTACTTCCTCTATTTCCTAGTTTAAAAGAGTAGGGGAAGCAGGGCAAAGTGAAATGTGGAAGAGGGCATGGAGGGGGCTAAAGGGAAGGGAGAAAGAAGCAGGAGGTCAGGCAGGTTGCAGCCACAGTGGTTGCAGAGCATGCTGGAAGCCATTGTGACGCTGCAAGCCATGGCAGGCAGTCACTGTGGCTTATTGCTTTGTCCAAACCCAGCAAGGGGAGGTTGCTGTCTGCATTTTAACACAGTGAAACAGCTCGTGGGTTGCAAAGCAAGCAAGGGAAAAAACCAAGGAAAATATTGAAATAGTCCAGCATATTTCACATTGTCACCCCTGCTACTGTCTATTGCATCAGGGAGAAGGGAAGAGAGCTGAGGCAGTGGAAGAGACTGTGGTCAGAGGTGCAATGGATTCTCCTCTAGTAGCAGGCAGCAGGCATAAGCATCATGCATATAATACTTAAGTGTGATTGTCCAGGGTTGTCCTCTGCTATGATCTTGGCAGACCTTGGTTGTAAGTCAGATTTGGGCAGCATGTCATCTGGTTTGGCACTTTCAGTCTCCACTTTCTACTTCCTTCCTTTCCTTCACAAGTTGCCCTCCCATCACCACATACAAACACAGAATTGAACTGTGTTGAAGGCACACTGGATTTGGAAAGAGGCCGATTTTGTACTGCTGTGACCTGCCCCTGTCACGCCCCACAAGCCTTTGCTTTGCACGTATGAACTGCTCCAACACAGATAAATGCACACATGGTCCTTTTCATTCGTTAGCATTGCAAATTCCTCCAAAGGTGGTTTGAAGCAAGGGAAAGGGCAGTCTTGAAGCAGGATTTTAAAATAATGGTGACAATCACAACATATAGTAGTAAGCAAACAGGTTAGAGATTCATTTATATTTCTGCAGCTTTTCTTAGCACCTTTGGGATGCAAAGGGCAGTACCCTGTATCGCTCCCACACTAGCAGAACCACCCATGAGTGCAAAAAGGCCCTTGCAGGAGGACCAGTTTCTGGGGAGGAAAGCAGTGGAGGTCAGCTGTGTTCTGGAACCTGCTATACTCTGGAAAGCAGCATTGCCACTCATCTTTGTGCTGCTTTTGGAACTGCTAGTCCCTGTTGTGATAGTGGTCTATTTTGTCATCAGTGGCACAGAAACAGTGTAGGATGTTGCCAATGTACTTAACATTACTTTGCATAGCCATCCAGACAATATCCCCTTTTTTTAGCTTGGAGGACTGAGGCTGATACAAATGTACATCACGTCCATGGCCTGCACTTTGATTTAAACATAGCAAACTTGTGTTCATTTACTAACAGGGCCCATAATGAACAGTGGTCCAGGGTAGTTTTCACTTTATCCAGTATATTTATTGACTCTTTTTTCTTTTAAACAGGTCGAAGGTTATAGAACACCTTTTCCATGTTGTATATACATTTCCAGCACCTCTTCTGGCCTACAGTGGGAATGACAATGAGGAACTTAAACTTTTGAACTAAATTATGTTTAAAAGTAATTAATTGTGAAAAGATTGGATGTGGCTCCCTCTTGGGCCACAGTGTTTCTTCTCTGTTGATTTTGGCATGCTGGAGCACCATTTGTTCTCTGATTACCATTTTGAGAAACATTGTCAGTAACTGGGCTAAATAACTGATCTTCATCTCTAATTACATTGTTCTTCACAGGTGTCTGGGAAAGTTCCAGATGGGACTTCACACCACCTCCAGTTTGAAGGAATAGAACGACAATATGCTTCTTTGCCCAGGTAAGTTTTCTTTTCCATTTTTTCTCATTCTCTTCTAATACCGTCAGACATGAGTACAGACACACAAGGAAAGCTCTCCCCCTGCTCCTGCACTATTTAGAGAAATCTGCATTGAACAGACATCTGGCACGAAATGAGAGATTATGTTGCAATTTTGTCATGCTACCCTTCTGCTGATGATTTAGTGCCATTTTTATGGCTGCGTTAATAATTTAGACAGCCAGTTTTGGGCAAGGGAGGGTGAAGACTCTTTCAATGAACATGTCAGTAAGAGTCATGATCTGCAGGGGAAGAACATGACACTGAGGGAGCTTATTCCACAAGAGTTATTGTGGGTCTTGGCCAGACCTAACTGAGAGAGAAATCATACCTCGGAATGACAGAAGGCCGCTGTGCGGCATTCCTGGTGCAGTCGCCACAGCCTCGTTTGTGGCTCCAGAAACGTCTCAGTGCCATACCGAAGGAAACTCCAATATGCCACAATTGGAGTCTTCTACAATACTTGCTGTAGCGTAAATGCCACGGAACTTAGGAGGGCTGCCTTCAGAAGAGACACACACAAATTAACACATATAAATTTTGTGCTGCTGGTATGCTGTTTGCTCTGTGACCAAAGACTGCTGGGAAATTAGAAGAATTCTAAGTCAGGACTTTGCTTTTTCATTCCTGCCATTTCCTGACTTTAATTTTGGCTTGAGACCATTGGACATCAGCTGCTCCATTTGTTGGGGGACTTGGTTAATCAAGTCTCCTTGTATTGGTGATCAAGGAGCATCAGTAGCAACTTCTCCCTTTTCCACCTGGCACTGCCCTGGTCCTGCTCGATACTTTGTTGATAGTGTGACCATCTCTGCTCTCTTCAGGCAATACAGAGTAGAAGGGATTGCTTACTCTTAGGCAAGATAAGGTCAACACTCCCAGTCTGGCTTTTCCAAAGGAAAAAGGAGATATTCAAAGGAGATATGAATTGATGAGACCTAGTTACAGGTTTTGGGCTAACTAATTGCATTCTTAAGAAAATACTTATTTTTGGTTCTCTTAAACAAAGCTACAATGACCACTCTGACCTTTCGCAGACATACAGAAGTTGCGAAATAGTCTGGCCACAAGCGGTGTTACTTGTTGGTACCTGTGAGTGTCGCAGCAGAACATACGTATCTCTTTGGTTAACCTTTTATTAAAAGACCTATAAAAGTGTATACGCACAAAAATGGTTCCTATTGGTCCATTAGCATCTCCCCTCCTCCACATAGAATTTCTTTACTCCCTCCTAACATCCAAAACATACAGGTGTCTGATTTCATTTTCCAAGGCTGTTTCAACTTTCCCAGGGTGTCCCCTGAAAATCTGCAAGATTTGGCCAACAAATCAGGCTGGGACACACCAAATGAGTGTCTGTGTCTGGGCAGTAACTGCTCTCCAGGGCTGCTTCTGAGTCCTTGAAAAGCTGTGCTGGACACTCCGCAGTAGTTGTGTCGTTTAGTGCAGGTCTGTGGCCAAGGGGGCAGAACTCACCTACAGTTTCCTATGATTTGTTCTTCTCCCTGACTTTCCCTGCTGGATGGACTTCTCATGCCCATATGGCAGGCAGGCAGGCTGGCTACTTTAAAAAACCTGAGGCAGAAAGTAATTTTAGTTAGGAATCAGTGAAGCAGGAGGAGACAGAGAGGCTCTTGAAAATCATGCCAGACTATCAGACTTTGGTGCAAGTCACAATAGTGGTAGGCAAAAATTAGCAAAGTTGGAAAGGAAACTAAGAATGGAGAAAATTATTTATGTACTTAACCTGCAATACAGACCCCCTTTCTTAAGTCAGTAGCCTAGTTCACATGTCATGCTAACCCATGGTGGCGTCTCATGGCAATTGGTTCCAACATGGGTGAGCATGATATCCGAAGCCTGCACGGCTTTCCGTCACAGTTGTTTCTTCGCAAACAAGCCATACTGAGGATGCTTTTCTTGGAATACGGTTGTTCAGGTGTCCAGATCTGAAGCCAGAAGAGTCATTCAGCATGGCTTGCTGAAAACAGAGAGAAGCACTGGGCAGAAGTGGGGAGAAGTCTTGCCAGCTGCTCTTCCTGATCTCCCATTTCCTGCACAACCAGCTCCATACACAGTTCTGGTGTCTGCCTAGGCAGCCGTCTGTCTACGGAATCCTCTGCTCTGCTGCCCATTCAGGCTGCCCATGTTTTCCTTGGTGATTGTGTCCATGTATTTTATAGGAAAGGGGTTATGGTTGAACGTTGACCATCACAATGATTCTGTTGTCTGTTGTTCATATGTGGAACATTTTGGAAACCCAGCAAAAGTTGTCTCTACCCCAAGACTTGCCTCCTATTTTGAATCGTGGGCACTCTGGAACATGAAGAATGATGACGACCAGGGTTATTGTGGTTGCACATGTATTCTCAGTTGCATGTTTTCTTTGCATTATGCTTCTTGGATTGACACCAGCTGGTTTGAGCAAGGTTTCTTCTGAAGCCCATGGCTTACATAAGCAGTAGGAGGAAGACCTGAATGGATTTAGTGGGTCTCTCTTCTGAGAAAAGTTTTCCCAGGCTTTAACATTCTTGAAATAACCCCTGGAACTGTGAGATAACACTTTCTTGTTTAAAGGGGGTTTTACATTTCAAGCAATGTCTTTCATTCATTTCTGTGACTAATCTGGGTCATAATTTCCTAATTTAATATCAGAAGACCTATCTTTCTTTAAAATATGGTTTGCTTCCCTGCCGTTTCTTTCTGTGCCTCAGGTAATTGGATATTTTCAAGATCTGTTTTAATTGTAAAATATGCTTGCCTGCAACTGTCTGGCTGAGCCCAAAGTTCCACTGGCTGATATTTAAGCTACTTGCCACATTTTGTGCTTTCCTAAGGGGGAAGCCGAAGGCCCAACACACACTCCTGCCCTACTCTTTCTTTCCATCCTTTTAATGTATCCGTGTTTCTTCTTCTCCTCTCCCTAATTAGCAGGATCTCGTCCATTCATTCTCCCCATCAATCCCAGTCTTTTCTAAGCGTGCCACAACCACCGCTGTCTTCCATCTCATCTTCAAATCCTCTCTGTTCCTTTTACATCTGCTCTGCAGTAGATCATCAAAACTGAATATAGTACCCAGCTGTGCATGTACTATTGATTTATATGACATTGAAGCTTTTTCAATATTATTTTCCATTCAGTGCTCCTCCACCTCAACATCTTGTTTACTACATTGACTGCAACTTCTGCAGAACATTTAGTAGCCTTTCACTAAACTGTTCACATGAGCACCGATCGATTATATCTAAGTTGGGCCATTAATCTCACACCCTTTTCCTCCAAACTTCAGTTGTATCTGTATTTGGGATCAGTATTTGGAAAGGATTTAAGAAGCAGTCAAGGTGTTCCATAGCCTTTACATTTGTGAGGGTGAAGAGGGTTTCATTTCTGCTCAGCATCTGTCATGTGGAAGATTAGAAGCTGGTGCATGTGCATTTTTATGTTGCTATTTGTCAGAACCGTGGTAACAGGAACGTATTTCAGAACAGACACAGAACATATTTTAGAACTCTAAAAATGGCTTCATAAATATGGGGAGTGTAGATAATGTCAGAACCAGGCTTCCTGGAGCCAAGGAACAATACTCAGTAAAACCATTTATGGCAACACTTCCAGTAATTAGCCATGAGGCTTTACAGTCTGTCCTACTCAAGATCCACAGGTAACACATTGCTGGGTAGTGCCTTGGCAACAATCGTTCCAAAGACTCGGTCGGCCCTGAGTTCGGCATGCAGAATAAATCAAGCAAGATCACACTCCCTGTGGAAGCAGAAAGCATTCTAAGTTCCTGGGTTCCCCTAGATTGGATACAGGCAAGCAGCCACTAAGATTACGACTGGGCATTCAGTCCCAGCAGGGAAACCTGCCTGCCTGGTGGTCGCCGTGCCTCATCAGGTGCCTCTGACCCACCCTGATGAGTTGGCAACACACCACGGGAGGCAGGCGTCAGCAAGCCTCTAGCACTGACCTGATGGAGCCCCTTCATTTACCGGTTTGTTTCATTTCATTTCAGCACGACCTAATAGCTGGATCTCTCTGACTGGTTAACAACCATTCATAACATGCAAAATATAGATACTGTAAAATACAGCATAAAATACAGATACAATAAAATATTACATAGCTGTTCAGTATGCAAAAGTTAAAGCAGGTAAAAAGATTCAGCAGTAGCAAGACCTGCTGAAGTAGCTGACATGCCTCTTCGCATGCCCTTCAATACCTGAGAGTAGAGGGTGGTCTTAACCTAGTGCCAGAAAGAGGGCGGTGTTGGTGCGAGGTGGGCCTCAGCGGGGAGAGCATTCCAAATCGGGGAAGCACCACTGAGAAAGCCTCTCCCTTGCCCCCCTCCCCGAGCTTCCCCCCACACCTCATCCATTCACTTCCAAAAATGTGTCAAGAGTAGGCAAGGAAGGGGAGGCGGCATTACCTGAAATGTTTCCCTTAGTTTTGCCTGAGAAATATCACGAATGTGCTACATATTTACAGCATTTTTGGTCCTCCAGCAAGAACCCTGAATGATTGCAACTTCACAGTCATTTCTTTGTTCCAGGATCATGAATTTTATCATGTTGCTGTCTCAGCAGCCCAGCCCTGACTGTTTCCCAATATTCACAAGCCATTTGCAGTTTCCATCATGCAAGAGGTGCCTCGCAAGAGCAGAAGGGGTGGGATTTACTGTATTTTTCTGTCTATAAGATGCCCCCATGTATAGGACACCTCCCACTTTTCTTACCCAAAATTCAGAAATCAATATTTTAAACATTAAATAGAAGAGATTTTTATTCAGTGATTAGGCAACGTTTACATACCGGTACTGTGATATGATGCATCACACTTAGCTCTGAGCAAATCACTTTATTCAGCCTCTATTGCATCATTGGTTTCTTCTTCATCACTTTTAGTTTCAAACATATCAGTTTCTTCAACTTATGTTGCATCACTGCTGCCTGCTGAGTCCCGC